AAATTTCAACAACAGGGGCTTGCGTTAATGCTTGCTTTAATTTTTCGAAAGCACTATTGGCTTCGGCCGTCCACGAGAATCTTGCCTTTTTCCTTTTTAATTTTAACAATGGTTCAGCAATAGCTGCAAAATCTTTTATAAAGGACCTATAATATGAACAAAGTCCTAGAAAAGAAGAGAGCTTCTTCGCCGTATTTGGCGGCGGATACTTTTGCACAGCGATTATTTTTGATTCGTCTGTCTCGATTCCTTTCTGAGATATTTTGTAACCTAAGTATTTTAATTCAGGGGCTGCAAATTTGCACTTTTCGACATTAACTTTTAGACCGGCCTCATTTAATAATGAAAACACCTGTCTTAAATCCTGTACATGTTGGTCCAGATTATCACTAGTAATAATGATATCGTCTAAATAGATAAATGTGGACTTTCCAAGAACAGGCCTTAGCACAATGTCCATACATCGCTGAAATGTTGCCGGTGCCCCTGAAAGGCCAAACGGCATACGCAGGAATGCATAAGTGCCAGACTTGGTTATAAAAGCAGTCTTAGGCACGTCCTTCGATCTAACGCCTATTTGAAAATAACCAGTCGTTAAGTCTAAAGTCGTCATATATTTGGTAGAAGTTATGTTCCTTAGAATTTCTTCAATAATAGGTAACGGATATACCGGATATTTAGTCATGGAGTTTAATTTACGATAGTCAATCGCAAAACGCCACCTTTTTGGATGTGTCAATGGATAGTCATTATTTTTCTTACATAAAACCACCGGGCTAGCATAACTACTTGAGATGGGCGTTATGATCTTTTTACGTAACATATCTCTAATGTGCCACTCTATAATTTTTTCTTTATTCTTATCATACCGGTATGGTTTGTGGCGAACTGGCAGTGAATCTCCGGTGTCGATACTATGGTTAGTAACTTGAGTAAATCCTGGAATATCACTAAATAACGAAGCAAATTCACTTACCACTTGTCGGATTCTTTGTTGCTCTTCCTTAGGCAGGTGGTCAAGGTTTAACATTGGCGGTTCCGTTTTTTTTCTTCTCGAACTGGTTTCATCGTCAGCTTAAGGGACGCTTCATTAAAATCCAGCGTTGCTTCTGCCTCTGAAAGAAAATCTATTCCTAAGATGATATGTGCTTGCAGATTCTTTACTATAAAAAACATAATCTTCACTTATTCGTCCGTGATACGAACGTATAACGGTAATTTACCTATGCACTTACATCTTTCTCCTTGCGCAGCTAACACTGTCGTATTATCCGAATTATATATGCGGTATTTACGAAAATACTTCCTAAAAAAATCTTCTTCTGCCACACAGGAACACTGCGCGCCTGTATCCAGGAGTGCGGTGGCTGGGATGTTATTCACCAACACTTCAATCTTTGGAAGAGTCAAATTTTTCACCATTACTGTATTTAACTTGAAGGAAGAGGGGTTTTCTTGGCCTTCGGATTTCCGCACCCTCCCGTCAGCAGAAATCCGTTTTAGTTTAAATTTTGTTTTTTTTCCTTTCCATGCTTTCCTTCCTTCTTTTTCCACTGGCCTTCAGACTTTTTTCCTGGATTACTATTGAACTGTCGACGTTCGCCGGTTGTTTTTGGATACTCGGGTTTCCTTGCCCACTGATTCGCTTTGCTTCCGTAGCCGTGTTCTTGACTTTGCTGTGGTCTTGGCGCACCAAATTGGTTTCGTTGTTCATACTGGCGTCTTCTTTCAATGTCCGCCGTTCTTCTACTTTCAAACTGGATTGCTAGCTCAAATAACTTTTCCAGTGTAGTCGGATTCCTTAATTCAATAAAGTCTTGTACTTGGGGAAGTAACCTCGGCAAAATCACTTGAATTATCTCAGGATCCGGACGGTTTCCATACAAGAGTTTGAAGACGTGAATTTTTCTTAAAATAAAGCTTGAGAGATTTTCAATTCGTTTCTGATATATGCTGAAAAGTTCCGTTTCTAATTTGCACGATCCTTACGACAGGGAAGGCTTTTACTAGGGCAGTCTTGAAATTTTCGTAAGTATAGGTGGGACTTCCCGCTTGACCCAAGAGACTTCTTCTGCCTATACATTTGAACCAATTAAGCGCTTGGCCCCTCAAAGCGCTGGTAGCTAAGGTAACTTTCTGGAACTCGTGCACGGATACAGCATGAAGTGGTCATCCAATTTTTCCAAAAAACTGGTTACCGGTGAGTTTCCATTAAATGTTGCTTCTGGTTTCATCGATGCGCGCATGGTCTGGACGATGTAACCAAATCCTTCCAGGGCGGCAGCTGGCATTTCTGGATTCTGAGCCGCTTCTGCAGGCAGCACAGGTTCTTCTTGAAACTCGGCCATGGTTATTCTTCTTCGTTGGGGCGCCACTATCAGGTTCAGTGTTTCCTCCTTACTTGCTTGGGGAACATGCAATGACCTGACTCGGAACAGGGAGCTTACTAAAGCTATGTTCAATAAATGTGGGAAGTAGACAGATACACAGGAAGGGTATACGAAACCCTTTATTTTTCTCTCTTTACAATGATTTCCGGACTTCGGAATACAGAAGACCAACCACTTGTGGTCTGAACGTAAGAATATAAAAATATTAACTAAATTCTAACTAAACTAACTTTGGATTAATAAACAAGTGTCTACTCGAAGATTGGCCGTATATTAACAGAAAGGCCGTATGTAGTACAGAGAACTGTTAACACTACGATACGTTTAAAATTATCAAGAGGTTTAAACCTCTGGCCTGGAAGGCAACCAGCAACCGAGTAAAACTGCTAAGGCAAGCGGCCTGCTTCTATTAACTCCTTCCTCTCTTTTGCTTGGCAAAAAGCCACAACTTAAGTACTTGGCGTTCGCCAGACAAATTTGCATAAATAAGTTAACGCTTTTAATTCTGGCCGGAAGTAGAAAATAAGAAGTGATAGTAAAGATTTAAAATATAATAAACGTTAGTAAAACTTAAGATCCTTACAAACTGAAGAACGCAATGTTTCCGTGAAGATCTTCAAATTTGTAGATATTATCTTAGTATAACGACTAAGTCAATTTTAGAAGGATACTTAAATGTCGTCTGTATTCTGAAACCAGTGCAGAATTTAGAGATTTAATCGAACACACATTTAGCAATATTATTACCTTCAAATGAGATCATACAACTTCTAGCCTCCAAGTACCTTGACTATTCAAATGAATCTGTGTCGTACTTTATGAATAAAACAATTTGAAAAATATTATAATTCTTAACTAGGTAACAAGAGACTTTCTCGAAACGTTTAGAAAAGTAATTCCATCGCAGTTTTAACTTCCAAGGGAAAACGCATACGATAAAGCTACTATGCTATCAGAATCAATATGATACTCTAAAGAAAGTTTTAAATTTTTGAAACTCTAAAGATCTATTAAATTTATTTATAGTTTTCGCTTGAGCTGGAACATTTCAAATAAAAGAAATGAGAGCACTACAGAAGATTTTAAAGTTGTATCTCCAAGAAACATGAATGAAAATTCTAGCATTAGAATGAAGATTCTTACATCTTCATTTTTAGAAAGCAGAGAAGTATTTTACAAGTTACGTAAACGAATCATATTTGAAAGTCAAATTTAGCTCAATATATATCAAGAGGGTTTAACAAAGCAACCATTATTTAATACCTATGCAGAATATAAATAATATGTACTATCTGCAGGAGAAAAAAAGAAAAAGGATATTGTAGATGAACACTAAGTACGCTATGTATGGAACAATGGCAGTGTAGTTACAACAGTTTAAAAACATTATTGAGTATTTCACAATAAAACTACAAAAATAGTAAAACGAAAAAAGGGTTTTCTTCCTGCTATACAATGAAAACGGTTTCTTTTTTATTTTGATCTCAATAAAGGCTGAAGTTTTACTTGCTTACACGAATTAAAGAAAGTATTGTAATCACGAAAAATTTCGGGTTTCAGATTTCAACGGAAATATCCAATTTGACCGTTCCCGAATACATTTTGACTTTTTTTTTTTCCCGTGACGTCTGTACGTACGGACAGAATAAAGGACTTTTTATTCCGAAACGGGTAGTAAAATGGATTAAAAATGGATTTTTTTCATGATGTCTGTACTTACTACCTATGTACGTATGTATCTCGTATAACTCAAGAACAATTAGATGTAGAACGTTGAAATTTTATATATGGGACTACTATGACATCTATCTGCGCACGTTTTTTCATGTAATTGGCAGTACTATGTATATATATATATATATATATACTCACTCTCTTATCTGGCTTAAAATTTCTTACCCAGCCTTTATTTTCGCCCTTGTTTGTCGTAGACTTACTTTAAATTACAAAAGTGTTTAAATGGCAAAAATTTTCATGTCCTGACAATTTCAAATTTACAAAAAATTAATTTTGAACAGATAATGAAATCTAACTTTTATTGCAGTGTCCCAGTTCCTATACTTATATTTGGAAAAGTTACATGCTCATTATTAAAAAATAAAAATACAAGAAATTTGACTTTCGTACGACAAAAATTGACCGGGATATGTAATTTCAAAATTCGCAATTTTTTATGTTACTTTCAACTTGCTCTGAGGGATCGGTTAATTAAGTTAGAATAATTCGAGGAAATTAGTTTAAAAGAAGTGCAACAGAAAATGTGCATAATTTAAAAGACGTACGACGAAGTCGTAGTGTCCGCATCAGATGTTTTAAAATTCAGTAAAATGATAACTAAGCAAAGCAATAAAAAATTCATTAGCTAATGTATTCTCCATTATTTTCTTTCTTTAAATATCAAAAAGTATTTCCTGCTACAAGTATCGGTGCCTAATTCAAATATTATATTTAGCTCATCACTTATTTCAGTACTAATTCTGAATACAGTCGGTTAAGTTTTGATCTCAGCCTTTAAATGAAAACTGATCATTAAATTGTTATTAAAAATCAATGATTGTGCAGAATGTTTAACTATATAATAAATAAGGAATATTTTTTCTTTCATTTCAGCCATCCAGAAAATGCCCACAATGATTCTGCAGCTTTCAACCTTGGTTTAGTGTGTAACACATTCGTTGATAGCAGAGATGAGGAAAATAAGGTAAGTAAAAATTAAAAAATTAAAATCAGTTGATTGCGGAAATTTGAGATACCAAAAATATTAATATAAATTAAGAACTAAACGTTTCAGAATGCATTATTAAATTGTGTTGGGCTGTATTTCTTGTTGTTCTTGTTTTCACTTATTTAGAATAAAATTGAATTAATTCACTACATTTTGAAAGCAGAAAATATGAAATAAAAATAATAAACATATCAGAAGCAATGGTTTTTATCATTTTTAAAGGATGTTCTTTATTTAGAGAACAAACATACTTTCTGCTTTATAAGCAATTTTTTCCTCTCTGTAAGCTTTCCTAAAATCTTCACTAATGCAAAGGAAAAAACTGATTAAAAATTTATTTGTTTATCAAATTGATATTCATTATTGATATTGTAAAGTCAATGAAGCTAAAATGTTCACTGGAAAGGAAAGCGAATGTTTAGTTCTTTGTCAAGAAAGAGGTGTAGATAACAGGAAGCCGCTCCGAGAATTTGTTTATCAAAGCACATGATGCGTTATAGACATGATTTCGTAGAAGCTTTGGCATCTAATAAAGGCAGAATTTATCAGCTTTATAAAAAATTTAGTGACATTAACATTTGTGTATACCTGAGAATTTTATATACACATATGATGTCATAATGGACGTAATGATCATCATCTCTGCTCTTCAAAGTTTTTAACCTAAATGTGATAATTTTCGTTCTTTCTTCGCAGATAATATATTTTCTTCAATCCTAAGTTTAGAGAAATCGTTAACAAAAAAGAACAAGGAGCAATCTCAGTCTTTCACGAAAGAAGTTTGCATTAAGTAAGATTGCAGTTGGTATTAAGGTCTCAAACATGTATTATATTATGAGAAGAAAAGTGATTCGGTAATATATGAAAATTAGAGAAAACTATAGTATGAGAAGAAAACTGATGTAAGTAATACATGAAGATTAGTGAAAACTTTAAACTTAGCGGACTAATTCAGAAATAAAAACGCGTGATAGGACAGCATTAAAAGCAGCCACCGGTTTAAATTAATACAACCTGAATAACATATTTTACGCAGATTGATGACTTAGAGAATGCTAAGAATTTTGGCTGCGGCTACGATACTGACCAGCAGGTTACGAACATTTTGGTATACTGAAAGCGCTGCGTCTAACGAGCTTCTTTTTAAGTAAGAGCTGACTGAATGAGAGTTTGAAACTGTTGAAGTATCGGGATATTTTACTTTGCGTAAAAGTGTCTTTGTGGGCTTCAACGTTGTGATTGCTGCGGGAATGATTTGCGATCATGCCTTTATGAAGTCTTCTTCCATCAATGGTTAAAAAACCAAAAAGTGACTAATAGAATGGTGACACACAAGCTATTCTGGATCAAATAAATTTAAAATCTCAGTACGCAAAGCTTTCTGTTTCTTTTTCTAGCTTCAACTGTGGCGCAGATGTGATGATGAACGTAATGGGAATTACTATGAATAATAATATGTAGCTGATAATTTTTCTTAACGTACGTACATATATAAGTACACAATGCAAATGACTTTTATTTATTTTATGCATCAAGAAGTCAGAAAAATACTCATTAGACCATCTCAAAACTGGTTTTAAAAACTGGGAGAAACTGGCAGTGTTTAACCTTTTAGCAACGTCATCAATGATGGGCTAAAATGTTTGTTTGACATAGGAAAGGAATCAGTAAAGAGATAGGACATTTTAATCAAGTTACTTCGCATTAAAATAGTCTATTCTACGTGTTCTAACTTTATAATTCAAGAAAAAGATGTCAAACGACTTCATTTGCTGAGATGAAGGGCGATTCATTTCCGCTGTAACAAAATAAATGAGAAATAATTACCTTTTAAAAAGAAATCTTTTGTACATCAGATTTATTAAGTAAGGACAGAAAGTTTAAAAGAAAATTCTTCTGGAGCTGTATATAAGTACACTAATGTCGAAAAAAAATACCTAGGTGATTTTAAAGCAAAAACAGTTTAATAATTATATCTGGAAATCTGGAAAATAATGGAATATCTTGAGTCTTCATAAGAAAGTCCTATAAAATTTCATTTTTCAAATACCTGATTTATTTCACTTTGATTCAGTTTCCAGAATTCAGTTTTTACGCAATGGAAAGTATACGTTTCTGTTTTAGGACCACAAAGCTCCTATGTAAAAACTAAGAGAAAGGTTCAAGACAAGCTAAAATTTTTTTGAAGCGAAATCATGCCCTTTTTTTATCTTGGTTGTAATGTTATCTTATTTAATGCTAGTAAATTATTTAACTAATAAAGGTGAGTAATACATTCAGGTATTTTAAGAATTTCTAAAAAAAATTAACGGTGCTGTCGGACTGAAGTATCAGATTTAAAAAATGTTAAAAACGGAAATAAAAAGCATACTGAAATTTATTTGTAAATTTCTTTCGTGTATGATAAAAAAAAATATTTTCTTTCACTTTGAAATAATGTATATTACAAGTACAAAATTGGATAGTCTGTCGATATATGAAAACACATTTTACCAATAAATCCAGATTTTAAGACTTTAGGGTAGCACTGAAAGCTAGAAATGTTTTGCTAGTTTTCTTTTGAAATTTCTTTGGTATGTACCTTAAGAAAAGCTACATCCTACGTCAGAAAAGTTCCAGGACAAGGACTGTAAAGAATAGAAAATCGCATTTACCAAGTAATGATCTTAGCTGCTATCAAAGTAGTCCCCTTCGCTACACAAAGGTCAACGCTTCTGGATGTCTTGGAAACAAGCAGGGAAATCTTCAACTGCGATGCTTGCAAGCTCATTTGTCACAGTCCGTTGGATATCAACAATAATCTTGATGAAGCTTTCCTTTCAATCACCGTTTCACTCAAGGAAACAAGAAAATAATTGCAATAATCTTTGACACAATGTGGGATCACATCTGGCTCTATCCAATAGTTCAGCAGAAATTCTTCGTCTTTCCTTTTCCTGTTCATCTAATAGTGAATGAGGAACGATTATTGCATTAAGTTTGTTTCCCTAAATCTTTGCGTAGAATCGTATAACACACATCACGATTCAAACATATTTCTTCTAATATCATACGCACAGTTACACAACGGTTTTCCTTCAGTAACTGCCTTACACGCTCCATGTTTGCATCGGTATGTGCTATAAACGGGCGACTAGCTCTGGGATCGTCTTGCACTGAATATCTGCATTCACGAAATCTTTTATACCACTCGAAAACACGACTTCTTGAAAGTGCATCGCCTGCATATACTTGCTAATCATGTTTCGCGTTTCACTAGGGGGTTTTCCGAGCTTAACGCAGAACTCAATGTTTGTTGTTTCTTCACGTTAAAACTTATGTTAATGTTATTTTATATATCTGACTTCGAATCTTAATTTTCTGAAGAAACAAACCTTGTCCAAACTTAAAGGTTTATTCAACTAAAATTTCCAAAATGATGATAACTTAACATAATGAACAAACTTAACATCTTAGGTGGAAAAATACCCGCACATTCAAATTCCTAGGAATGCTTTGAACTGTCAGCTATTCGGCGACTGAGGAAAAGAACACATCTTATAAGGACAAAAATCCGTCTGGTCTCTCTGGCATAAATCCCCATTTAAGTTGAACTGAACTCAAAAACGGCTGGACTAAAACTGGACTGGACTGGAACCCAGACTAGACTGGACTGGAACTGGAAACCATCATCCCCCTCAAATCTCCTCTGGGCAGATCTGTTCTGCTTCGAACTGAAAATGAACTGCGCCGCTACCAAGAAAAGCACCACCTTTTATTGACGGCGGTTGCTGTTACTACAGACGATTATGCAAATATTTAACATCGTTCATTCTTTGCTCACAATCAGCATCCATTTTTCCACTTTAACGAATGCGACAAAAATCCGAATAGTGTGTTGCTAAGCAGAGCCCTAACCCCTAGTAAATTTGCGCGGAAACATGACCAAGGTCATGCTAAGTAAGAATACGTACCGGGTAACATAAAAACAACATTTGTTCCTTTTTTTCAGTAGTGCAAAATCAGAAATTTAAAAAAAAAATTGGAACGTTTCTGACAAAGGATGTATATATTTGTTCTGTATGAAATTTAACAGAGAGGCTACAGAGAGACTCAATTTTCACAAACACAAAAAAATAAGTATATTTTATGTACCTTAAATACCTTATTTTATGTACTTTATCGCACTTAATATTCAAGAATTGTTAATTTTATTCCTTCGTTTTTACACTTTGTTCAACACGAACGTTCTTGCCAATTTTGAGAACAGAGGTGTTAGCAGTGGGGAATACAAATTTTAAACACATTTCTTATAGCAACCCCGACTTCTTAAGGTACGTTTTGGCTTAAATATGTCCATGAATACAAGCTTTCAGAATTCAGAATCTTTTGAGCGAGGCTACCAAAACATTTATAAAATCAAATGATTGCGGGAAACTCTTCTGGATCTGAAATGTAATGTAAGACGTATATGCTAGTCCACTTTTCTCTCAGTGCAGTGGAACCAGATTCAGAGCGTTCTGATGATCAGCAGTCCACATGCAAATGGTCTAACGGCTTGGCATATCCATTCAAATGAAATTTAAATAGCTTTAATATCCAATGAAGGAACTACGTGGAAGATAGTTTAATATTGACACGTATTTCTCTGTAAATGGTCTGCACTTCGAAGAATCTTTCAAGTACTGTAGAAACTCAATTATCTAAAGTAATTCTGAGAGTAACTCTCTCAGACAATCCGAAACTCGGTTACTAAAAACTAAATTTCAAGTCACGCCAGTTTTTCTTTGGATACAATTTTCTAAAGTTTTTATTTGAAATTCTAGAAATGAATGCAAAGTTACTTCTATAACATTTTAACAAGCTTTTATTTTATGAGTAAATAAAATTTATTTCATACAATTAAACAAATACTAGTCTACGTAAGATTTTATTTTGCGACAAAAATATTCATTAAATAATTAGAATAAACTAACTCTATCAAAACTTTCCTAAAGTGTTAAGTTTTATCAAATCTTTTGCACGCATTTTTATCAGGCATTGTTGTTTTTATTCATTTTTTAAAAAAACTCTGGTATTCTCTTTTATGATAATCCTAAAAATATATGAGACACCGTATGGTTCGGCCAGTTTTTAATCGCTAACAGATAGAACAGTATAGAATTTTCAAAAAGATTTAATTTAAGTGTTGTTTCACGTGTGAAACAATCTGTGGATGCAACCACGTTTAAAAAATCTTTTGATTTGTATAGTTTATTGGAAGAGAAGTAACTGTAATGTTCTGAAATCCCTTGGATTTAACTATTCCCCGTTAAATCATCACTATTGTTGGTGATCAGAACAAAAAGGAGACTCACATGGCACAGCAGAAAGCTGTTTAAAGGTCTATCAATGATGAGAAAGGCTAAAATATCAATCATCAGTAAAGGAATTCTCGAATGTTACGCATTTTTGCTGTACACTTTTTAATGTTGTTTCTTTTTCCCAATAAATTCTGATTGCTGGCTCGGTTAATAACAAAAGATAGGTTGTACTATTATTTAGAAAAACCTCTTCTACGTTCTGCTTTAGTTGATAGTAGATGCACCGGACATTAGTATTTTTAATGCTTTAATTTACTTTATATTCATTTCTATTCCCAACCCCAGGCTGGAAGATATTTTTTTCAAAAGCAGCACATCGCCATCTCATGCGCTTTGTACACCCATTCAATTTTATAATGATTTTCGAATCCAGCTAATTCTATATAGCGTTTTGTCGGAACAGACAATTGAAACTGTATACGAAACTCTTTCTGAATATTAACTGAAAAAAACTTAGTCATAAACTTTAGTCTCAATTCTCTGTTCCATTTCCCACGCGTCCGCTTGAAAAAACACATTAAGGTGTAAGAAAAACTATACATAATAGCCTGGTTATGCCAATGTACAAAATAAAATAAATAGCGATTTGCTATTAGTCAAAATTACAAGTTTTTTAGGGTTTTCATTGCACTTTATTTTACTTATGTTAAAGTTTGTCACCGGAACCACAGTATCTATGTTTTAGCGTAAGCACTAAGAATTTCTTTTAACTTATATATATATATATATATATATATACCAGTTTAGGAGTTTAATTGAACTGTTATAATAAAATAACATACATAATACGTGCTTTAAAAACTAGCGTAAAAAATAAATTTATTCTAATATGATGAGAAACAAAAAAAGCAATTTCTTCCTTTAAACTTGAAAATTTACAATGCATTATGGTGAAATTAATTCCCATTTTAAACTTTTTATTTTAGGTAACAGTGCGTATGGCTATGAGGCCAGTTCATGATGGTTCTTACAAAGTTCGTGACACATTTAGTGTGGAAGGACGCGCTATTGTTGGATCATATGATGAGACAATTAATACGCTGAAATTCAAAATAGCAGCTGAACCCGACCAAGTAGAGACGAAGGTTTGTATAAAAGTTCTTGAAAACATCATTGTATTATGAAATAAAAAATTCAAGAAATCAAAGTAGAGTCGATGGCCATATTTTGCAGATATAATTGAAATACTGTACTGGCTTGAATATAAGACAGTCTTCGATTAAAAAAAAAAAAAAAAAACTTAAAGTTAAGGTATTTTACAAGATTTCAAGAGACTAAGTTGCGTTTAAGGATGCTTCACCAGTCTGAATGTATTCTGTCAAAAAGATAATCAGATTATCTAAATACAATGGCTTGAAGTAAAATGAAGCATACGTATATCTCTTTCTTAAACTCAAAATTTAGGACTAAATGATAAATTTATGTATTTTTAAAGGTCAGATTGCCTATGTAAGATGGAGCAGGGTTTTAGAAGAACATTTTCAAACAAGCCCATCGTCTTAGATTCAAGCAATACAGCATTACCACTCATTAATACTTAGTATTTATTATATTTACATTTCAAGAGACAATGGTCTGATATTACGATATTTATTTTTATGCCAGTTTAATTACTCTTGTAATATGATATTTATTGCAATTTCTGATGCTGTTTTGTCATTATTTGTTTCATTTTAAAAGGGAAATTTCTTTTCAGCCACAAATAAGGAAATCAAGTAACTTTTTGCTATTTTTCTGACTAACTTTCAGACAATTAAGAAAAAAGTATTTACTTTAACAGCAAATCACATATTCAATAGAAAGGTTGGAAGAATCATGGAAATGTTTTATTTTTATGCGAAATTCAAATTTTGGCTTATGAAAAAATAAGTGTTTGATTTGCTAGCACAATGTGTAATTTTTATTACTTTCCGCGGATTTTCTTTATATTCTTCGTGTATTTATAAAAATTATTATCACGTCGAAACTTTTTTTATAAAGAAATCATAAAAATAATACAAAACTAAAGCCCAGTCAGTATAAACGAATAAATAAATAACATTTTATAATTTTTTTCTATTTTTCTCTCTCGTTAATTCTATTTTATTTAGCAATCTATTTTTACTGACTTTGCAGCTATTTCTTCGTCCCCTTTTTTATACCTCTGTCTTTAATATGGATATTTTTCTGCTGGCTGTAGAATAAGTTAAGATCTGCTACAGTAAATGCAACCCGCAAATAAAAGTTTTTGTATTTATGATTTCAACTGTCAGCTTCAAATTGCTTTCGTAAATTCAACCTGCTATTTTTTGGAAACATTATTTAAATACTTGTGGTTGAATGATAATTTGAAATTCGAAGTTTCAAAGTTCTAATTCGAAATAAATTCAGAAGACGTACTGGGTGCATACTTTCTTTTAGTAGCGCAGCAACACTGATCGTTACATAACTCAGTGTACATCAGTGATCAAGCTAAGAATCTGATGAAAACTGTCAAAAAAATAAAAAAAAAAAACCACATTAAAATAATTTATGAAAAATTACTGTTTTTGGTAACTTAAATATCAATACAGGACAAAACAATTGTGCGTCTGCAAGACCCTCTCGTACAGAGAACAATCTGCACAATTTTTAGTCTTGTAATCCCATTAATTGCGTAATATTACTACTCTTATACCATACATAAAATACTCGTTTAAAAGTTTCAGCAGTGTACCTAGTAATATGTTCTACCACTGCATACTTTTCCCAATTATTTTGCTATGGTTGAGAAAATTATGCGATTTTTCATTTCCTTTCTTTTTAAACAAGAACTGCTCGAATAGTTTTACACCAGTTAATAATACTCAGTTGCTTAGATGTCGGATTTTATAGATTTACTGATCCTAACTTTTACGGATACTTGAAATTCTACTATTTTAGCGTGCACGACTTTTTCATATGATAGAGAGGTGAAAATGCATTCCTTTAATAGGATTTCACAAGTTTTCTTTAATAATCTTTAATATTAAGGCAAGTACGATGACAATTATTCGCAAACAAATTACCAAAAGACTTCACGAGTTTTAAATCAGTCCATAGAAATTTCAGATTTCTCCGAAAGATAGAGAGGACTTTTTTTCTGTGAAATACATCATAAGAAAGGTTTAGAGCATGTCTTTTATTTTAAGTAAGGTTTGTAAAATGTACAAATATGTTTAACAGAAATAATATTTAATCCTGTTTTCCATGTATTAAGCACATAAATATTTTTTAATCCCATTTAGGATAATGCATCAGTAAAGCTAGTGAATCTAGAACCTATACCTATACGAATTCATCAACGAATTTGGGTGCCTTTCAATATTACGATACCAAGAGATGCCATAGTCAAGGTGTCAGTGGAAGCAAAATCTATTCAGCAGAAGAGCAGAGCCATCATAACGGTCCACGACCTGAAGTTAGTGTCAGGAGGAATCAATATTCCATGTCCTATGCTTTATCCTCAACCCAAAGTGCAAAAGATAGCAAGTGGATCAACTACTCAGACCGATATCATTACAGCTGACATAGGATATTTTACAAACTTAGGTAATAACATAAATAAAAACTGATTTCTTTCTTTGCTTTTAGCTGCTCCTTTTTGATTTCCATTACAGCTTCGCTCAGCTGTATAAAATGTTTTTTAAAAAATTGCCAGATAATTAAAAAAAATCTGTTGTGTACACCACACGACTTTCTTGTACGGAATATTAAATTATACGCATTTTTTCTTGCATTTCATTTAAACTTACTGGATTGAATTAAATCTACTCCGTGGATAGCGCATAAACCACACTAGAATAAATGCACTCTTTAAATTTACTACATTGTTTACCATAGCGACACTCTGACGCTAATTTTACTTACAGCGTTACTTTCATCATTTTATAACTCAGAATGCAAATTTATCATTTGAATAATTTCTGATCGTTGCCACTGTTCTATTCAAATACTATACATCAAAAACGAGTATAAAAGAATTAAACAAACAAAACAAACAAACAACAACAAAAAAAGATTTTCCACGATTCATATTTCTCATTCAATTAATCAGTTCTCACTTCGCGACAAGGCAAAACACATAAAACTCAAAATATCTATATTAAATTAAAAAGAAAATCTAAACACTTATTTACTCAAATAAATTCCAGAATGGATTAAGCATAATTTAATTCGCAATAATAAAAGAAGGTGTTTTCTTTGTTGTTGCGAAGCTTAGTTTCTCTAGATTGGCAACAAATCCACTATTCTGCAAAGCTTCCAATGTAAACAAATATGGCCGCTATGTGAAAAATAATTAGTCTTAGCCGTACTTAAACAACTTTTAAATCGTTCACAATTCTACAAATATTTCATGCAGATTTACTAAAGACATAAAAACCTAAATCAGAAGATAAAAACAACATAATTCAATCATTTTTAAAGCAAAACATGCGCAAATTACAAACATATAAAAATAAAGAAACTGAGATCATCGAGCCGAGTAATAGAGTGGATATATATATATATACATATATTTATATACTTTTCGTATGGCCGATTGCAACCGAAATAGGAAGTTCACATCTACATGTTATAGCAGTCCTATATCCAAAATTGAAACTTTCTGAGGCTACTCATTTTTGAGTTATGCGAGATTACAAACATACATACGAACGTACGCCTAGACGCCACGAAATGTTCTCTTCAGAATTAATTTTAAAGCAGTTTTATAAATTTTTTGGAGGAAACGAGTCTTATATTCTGTTCTTACGTACAGATGTCACACAAAAACATCAATATGATGTTTATGATCGATATGATGAATATGATACTTGAAATTTTTCGCGATTATAATACTTCTTTTTTACTTAGTGCAAAGAAGTAAAAACTGCTAAAATGCCATAATTTTAAAAAAATGCGAAATGTTGCAAGCAAACGAAATTAATTTTGAAATGCTGTTTCAAATAGTGTTTAGAACTTTAATTTAAATTCAGAGTTTTTTGCAATGCAAAGTAACTAAAAGTTAATATACATGCATATCATTTCTGGGAAGCTCTATATTTGCTTTAGTTAAAAGTCCTGATTTTAGAGCTTTATAGCACTACTAATTTTTTTAATCACATACTTTATTTTTTTATTAATGTAATCTTTGTAAAATTTAATAAAAAAACTTTTCTTTTCTGATCACATTTTTTTCTGAAATTTTACTCTTTTGTTTTCAAATAAGTTTTCTTGATCCAAAAAGACTTTCTCGTTACGAGGTTTCCCAGTCGGCTTACTATAAGTACAGCTATGTATGTTTCATGTCATTTTAAAAACATTGACCACATCTAAGATTGATTGATTTTACTAACTATTTCTATGTTTTAAATATAAATGATAACCTTGCTGACTTTTAAATCATTGCTTATTTGAACACTTCTTAAACGGCTTTAAATCTAATTTACACCTGCTCTTTTACAGGTCTAATTGTAAGATCGTAAATATCCTTCATAGCTTTCAGTTACTATAAAAGACATTTCTAGAAGTACCTGAGTAATGACAACCTTGGAAAAATTAATTTTTGAAATAGATCACGAGTGCTGCCAAGAGATTCTCTGTAAAAAACGTAATATAAGGAAATAATGTGTGTATTATGAGTGAATTATGGGAGTCCTACCAGAAGCTGACACCCATGTGCGTTTAATAACAGTGGAACTTCTCCCCTTTACCAAACGTCTATTACTCCATATTCTATAGATTTAAGAAGTTAAGTATTCTGTTTACACTTAAAAATATTAAATGAAATTATGATTCAAATTAAACGTTTGGGAATGTTAAGGGCAGAGAACTTTAAAAAAATGTAGAGAAAAGTTTCAGATATGTGATGCACATAACAGAAAATTTAAACATAATAATTACGTAGAATCAGTAGGATTGTCGAGGTAGAAGACGTTGAAAAGGTGCAATTCCATATCCAGCATTCAAACTTAGAACCTTTTGATGCAAACCAAATGTACTTTCCAATTACACTACGAAGGCACGTGGTAAAAGAGGGAAAAAAATGCCTTGTTTTTTTTCCTCAGAGAAAAAAGTTTTCAGTTTCTAGAAG